ACATAAAAATAAAAAAATTAAATCGTAAATATCTGCGTGTTATACCTATGTAGATGTGTGTTTTGTGGTAAATACTCAGTACAGGTGTGCGCCGCATTAATTCAACACGGTGTCGATGCAATTAATGCACTAAAAGTGATATTAAATTGAACGCATAAAATCGATGCACGTACAGCGCCATTATTCGCCCAAAGCCAGCACCGGAGGCTATTGATGGTCAGCGCGCATAAAACTCCCGAACACATACGTACATGCTCACATTCCGAGGGTGTGCGCGGGTGGAAGCAGGGCGATTACAAATGCACAGCACGCATTTGCGCTCCCCGATGCGAATTTGCACGCCGCGCACGATAATTTTATTTAGTTTTTGGCCAATTTGGGCGTTTAATTTCATTTAATTGGATATAATTCGAGCAATTAATTGATTAATTGTGTTTTATGCACAAAACAATCTCACTAATTATATTTTATTATTTTCTGCATAAAATTTGTTTAATAATAAAACTTGTAATGCTGACACATTGTCATTTTGAAGAAACATGTTCAGATGCAAGCAAGAGCCAAGAGGTGGCACTATGCGCCGCACGTCGACGTCTAATATCATTTTGATATTATTACCATATCAGCGCCTCACGCTGAATATAGATTATCGAATTATGTGGATTCGGGGCGCATAACGCGCGACGTGCGAGCATAATATAATGCAAAACAAAAAATAACGCCGTACGTTCATCATTTCACGCGCGGTGAAAAAATTAGATGTGAAATAAATTAAACATTATGCAACCCAACGTACATCACAGTGCATTGTGGGTTTTCTGTGCTAAAAATATGATATTTTCTTTTATCTTGCGCTGCAGTTAGTTTTTGTCGTCTTCTAAAAAACAAACGGACACCGGAGGGGTGGAGACAATGGCAGGCCGGACAGTGTTTACCTTTCTAGACACCCGCAGCTCATTTATCACGCAGCCGTCGCGCGTCGTCTATCTATCACGTGTCACGCGCGTCCGAAACTGGCCAAGAAGTGCCCAACTGTTCCGGGGGAGCAAACTCGTTCGTCATCTAAGTTATAAGAAACCGCAAAATGTCATTATCGAAGATGAAACTGACGCGCCCGGAGTAAAATCTCATTTTCTCTCTAAGCAAAATTCTACTGTACGAGTATAATACTATATAATATAATATTAATTACTTTTCCAAGCGTTTAAACCATGGTGACTGTTGCTTCTTTCGAATTGGAATAGAAAACACTGTTGCGGTTGGAAAAACAGTTGAAAATCATGTGTGAGTTCGATCCGAGGGAGCGAATCCGACAGGCGCTGAAGTTTCTTATATATTTTATTCCGGTTCAGCACATTTCCAATTACCAAAGTGTTCCCGGCGCTTTCCCCACGGGAGCACCACCGGCGCGCACGAAGGCGACTGGCGGTTATGGACGCCCGGCAAACCGCGACCAACAGTTCGCCACAGACCACGCAATACGGAAAACAAATACTTCACAAGCAAAGCAAAAAATAGGAAAAATAAAACACAACTACCCAGCCGTGATTGTCTCCAGTGGGTAAACAGAGCGTCCGAAGCACTCGAATAGTGATTACGCGGAAAAATCATCTACTTTCAATTACAATTACAGAAGGTTTAAATAAAAACCCCGATTGAAAGTTGGAACAAAAGTCCAGAGCAAATATTAGATAACCACGATTTGCTCTGTTGCCCATGACGAATCCATCTTAATGTGTACTTTAAAATCCATAATACAGAGAAATCAGAAATACTCCAGACTCTCCAAGCAGTAGCAAGCAAAGAAAGAAGGGAATCGAATGAGTATCCCAATGGAACGAGATTGGATTTAATGTTACGGTTACGGCACAGAGGAAACAAAACCAAGACGAAAAAAGCCAGCCGATGGAAAATAACTGTCTGGACGCTTTGCTACCATAGCAGCCGCCGACGAGTGAAGCCCACGAATGGCATCTGAATGATATCCAATGATTCCAGTGTAATCAAAGCAACAAGCTGTGAACTTTCAAAACATCCACCAGAAAAACATCTTCTAATACTTTTAAAGTATTACGTAACATACTCAATGCATTGATATTATTATAATAACCATTATTTGGAGTATGCTGATGATAAAGGGTAAAACCTCTGTGCGCTTCACTGATTTGACGTCCTCTTGTGCACGCTTTGTATCACGTTGCCATGCAACGCGACTGAAGAGTGTTGCTATGGCGACGTGCAACTAGAGCTGATCCCGTGCATAATTATAGAAAATTCTAGGGACGCAGCAACGAGGTATTACAAAATATGTAGATAAACACAAATAACATCTATAATATAAAAAATAATTGTAAAATTTGTTGGAAAGCGCTACAACGTATAAACCAATTTGGGTAATTCTTTTTTTAAAATGTTTGTTTAAGTCCCAGGATGGTTTTTACATTGAGAAAAATTCGAATAATTGCCGGGAAAACCCTAAAACAGCCCTTTTCGGTAAGATAAAAGTTGGTATTGTGATTCAATCATAGTTATAGTTAAATAATTAAATCCGAGATGGCGCTGAAGTGCATTATTAGCAATTCTTTATATAATTAATTTCTCTAAAATAAAATTGTGAATCTTATTGATAGAATTGACACATACGATGCCTAGAACAACAGAATAAAAATGAATTACATTTTTATTAAACACTATCGTGACAAAGTCGCAGGCAATAGTATCTTATAAAAATGTTGCATTGTAGCGCCATCTATCGACAATATAAATAACTACATTTCCTAGGCAACACATACAGCACCAAATATTATTAAGAAATGTTTTTATATTAAATATTACTATGAATATTCACTGGAAACACGGTAATAATTAATAATTCTCGCATATTACGTAATTGAGTATTGTTCTCAGATCATTGAAGTGTAGGAAGTGTCCGCAACACTCGGCGAGGCTGCGTGTAATTCAGCAGCTGTCAATCGCTAGCTGGTCCGGAAGCGTGGGCGTCGTTTTGTTGCGCATCACCAGCGTCATCGACAGAAAGCCGGTGTGTTACCTAACGGCCCTTCGTAATTAACCGATTCGCATGCATATTCGTCCGAATTCTATCCGGGACAGAGTGACATGACACAATACTCGTAACCAGACGTTATCTACTAGTGATATGAAAACTTCCCAATAAAAATAATATTTATATTAAATTAACACAAATTTAAGAAAAAGTTGAGTTTTATGAATTTTTGTTTTTAATTTTGATTTTGAGTGAAAGATGATTTGTGACACTCTGTATATGCAATATCTGCACTTGCTAAAGGACTTTCCAGCATAGGATAGCACAGTGGATAGTGTTAATGCATTTATGGCGTTACGCATTGCATCCGCCTGCATGAGCGCATTGCACGTGCAGCAAGCACATCACTAAAACTGCAAATGCAGCTTTGCAGTATTACTCCTTTCACTCCTCACGCTAATAGGACAATCTGTCTCTTTCTCTCCGCTAGTGTTGTATCCATTTTCGCGCTTTAAAGGTTTGAGCCACTCGACATTCCATGAAACTGCGGCAAGTTAATTTCGCAGTTGCAGTTCCATAGCGCCGCCATGTTACTAACTTCAAACTCAAGCCATCACGATACAAGCCGTCTATGACCATCCAGCGCACATTCCAGTTTCGAATCATCGAACAAAACCGATAACATCATATGATCACGTTCTAAAACGCGAATATTGCTATTTTCAGTTTTATTCGACAAGAAATTTTAAGTTATCTGCAGGAATATGCGAAGAATGATGATTATCGAATTATCTCGGATTACGAAATGCGCTTGTCATGCAATCGGTGTGAATCTGCACGGTTTCCGACACGTGCGCAATGCAATCAATGCAAAACACGTCATAAACACATTCACCACCAGATGGCTGCACAATACCACAATTGAGGTTATGATAAATTCGAAAAATTTTGTTTTCCTAGGTTCATAGCAGTCCTATGCAAATATTAGTCCGTCTAGCGGGCTATTTACTGTTTGAATTTCACCTTGAATAACATCAGATGAATGCCATTAGAAACGACCAAAATGGCTGACTCTGAATGAAGTGAAATTCATTTCGTCGACATACAGCTAGTTTTCCCACTTTTCATGAATATTTAACACACGCAGGAGGCACACAAGTGAAGAGGAACACAATGTATAAAATTTAAGGTTACGTGTCACATTGAAAAGTGCGAATTGTGAGCTGGGACGCAATTTGAGTTCTGTTGTTGACTTCTCCTAATGACACCACTTGTTGCCAATGATAAGTATATATACCTAAGTAAAACTAACTTCGCATTTGAATTTTAGGTAGGTACTTGTAAAACCGGAAAGTATACTTTGTAGAATTTATAGTGATGCCAATTAGATGCTTGCATTATTGTTGATTACGTGATTATTCACCTATAGAAAATTACCAATATTGAATCGGAGAGTAACGCTAGACTTGCAGGGATGAGAATGAGGGGGCTGACACGTGGGGGCGGCTGGGTGAAAGTTGAATGAAAATTTAATTGAAAATTCTACCGCCGCACAGGCCACCCTTTCCCTTCGACTCGATTTCACATCGCGTCGCACACGCCGAACTCAAATGAACAACGTCGATGAATGAATATGCGAATGAATGGACGTGCAATGAAGCACGACTTCCTGTTTTACATACAATATGTCCACCAGTACAATACTTTTCATTTAAAAATTAAATTTTTCTTAAAATTTCACAGAAAATTCAATTAAATGAATAAATTTAATTAAAAATTCTTTAAACACACTGTATATGCTTAAACTAATATTCCTACTTGTTCCCTTTACCTCGAATGCACTTGATTAGTTAGTTTTGTTCATTAGCACTCGTAATTTAACTTCAAGTTACTACTTTACTCTTTGAAGTTCAAACTTTCACTTTAATTATGAATTTCGGGGACTATTAGGACTAGTTGTGACTTTTGATAAAATTTATGATATGATATGACTCACATTGATATTCCTGCTGGGCTTGCGCGAGCAGCGATGCAAAAACAGCGCTGTCTACCGGACGTGAGGCGATGTCCTCCTCGCTGCTGCTGTAGCCGCGCTCCTGCCGCCATTCCAGGCTGCGTTGGCGGCGCATTCCCACGCTGCTCTTCGAGGCGCGACGCCCCAATGTTCCACTGCTTGTGTCCATCGTCAGAAATCCATCTGAAAATGTTATTAAATCAGATTTAATTAAACATCCACCTTCATTTATATTCCATTTGAGTTTTGCCAGTATTTTGTTCTGGTTTATTTCCGTATAAATATTGTTTCATTCTCAATTTATTTTTTATCGTTGGATAGGTATTGTGTTGAAATGTCGGAACAATTTTCTCTCCAATGGTCCATGGCGATGTCCGTTCGCGTTCTTTTTTGCTTTTCATGGCGCATAAACTTTTATTTATATTTATTTAATATTTTATTGGACAAGAATACACTTTTTACGCTGCCGTGTGGACCCGAGCGCCGGGTCGTCGTATTAGATTTTTATGTAATGGATAAAAGTGTAGTGGAAAAGTGCGTCGTTACCGTTGCCGGTTATATTTCTACTGGGACCACCCACACACCCGCCCGAAAGGTGCAAGAAGGAAGCAGAGTGCAAAAACCAAGGGAGAGGAGGTTATTACGGTTCAGATTTCAGATTTTGGCTAGCCGAAAACATAGACTTGTATAAATCTTGAAAGATGTAGCAGGATATACAGAGTGTTCAAAAATACATTAAAAAAAATTTTAAAAGTAAAAAAAAACATAAAACACCAGAAAAATATATATAAAATGTTTTTATGTGCAAAAAAAGTTTTTGTTATTTTAAACTTTTTTTACAAAGGGTGGGAGAAGCAAAAATGAAAGAACAACAGAGCAGGAAGTGAAAACTGCGCGTAGAGGGTGAAGCAGACAAAAAACAGGTGGAAAATTGCATGCATTTTTAAAAATTATTACATGCCAAATGAGTTTCGAGGCAAAAATGAAAGATAAAGAATAAAAAAGCAAAAAACGAAACAAAAAACGCAAAAAGCATAAAATTTGCGTTTATACCGCAACTCAAACATTGCGCTGCAATATAAACTAAACAAAATTAAGCATTAAATGATACTTGCGGATATTAATTATCGATTTGGCCGTAAAACCCAATTTAACGTTGCACGATTAAAAACTCCATCATTATTTAATATAATACCAGTAATAAACCAACAGTAATAATTTCATTGTGCGCGTTTAATGCGCCATTATTCGTACACGAATGATTTTTTGTCATTCGTTTACGCACGTTTTGCACACAAAACTGTGTACCATCATCATCCCCGGCCCGCTCGTAAAGAAAAGCACACCAAGTTCACATTTCTGCGTCCGCTTGAACGGAAAATATGAAAATCAGCCCTTTTCAGCCTTCTTTTACATCCACTTACCTCTTGAATATTACTTATATATATATTTTATATTACATATTACAAGCTGCGCAAGGTTCCGCTGCGCGTAAAAAGCTTTTTTATTTTATCAAAAATGGAGAACACACACCGATGATTTCAAAAGTGGAAGCAGAGGACACTTGCCACTCGTGTGTAAAGCAATGAATGAACATAAAACACGAGTAATGCGTCGATATAATAAAGAAAAAATTAAATCGCGCAGCGTATAGAAATACTACTAAAACTTTAAGGGAATGATATAAAAGTTTCCGCGGTATATGCGAGTGGTAAAATTTTTATTGGGCGCGTACGTGCGCAGAAATACGACCTGGACTCAAGTCGTGCACAAAAAGATGTAATAATAGGAAATATAACCGCGTATCATATTGCCGGTTGCCACTCCGCAGCGGCCATTAAATGACCATTCACACTAACGCCATCTATCGGCCATTAGATGAATCTAAATAGTAGAAATCTCTTGTAGATTAAAATCCTTGATTGTTTCAGGATATTAACGGATAAACATTTAAACACTCCCCGGGTGTCTAATACGAAACACTTTGTTTTTCCACGTGGCAGAAACGAGTAGCCTTGGATTTGCTACGTTTAATATCGTTCGCGGGGCATCCCCGGTGTGAGTGGTTCGTGTCCATGCTCTAATCTGCGGGATTCGGCAGCACGCCCCGTCCCGTCCATTATTGATCATTGCTGTCGTTTACTAAATCCACATCCACGTCCACCTATGCCCGTCCACCTACTTTCGGCGTGTATCCGTCCATCTTTTTCCGGTTGCGCGCCCGCATCGTGACCGGCGGTAATGATCCTTTTTGCTCGAAGTTGGAGTTTGCTGTTTTCTTTGTCTAGCTTTAATAATGAGTTGGCGGAGGCAAACGGGCCGAGGGTAGTTTGGGAATGGGGATCTCCCGGTGTGTAAATACATCGGAAAACAAACACGTTTAACCCTTTTAATGGTCAACTTTGATGGCCGATGCTGGGCGACATTATATATGACTCACGTGTTTAATACTCTGGCCATCAAGGGGGATATTAGATGATTACATTAATTGCCCCAACAAAATAATTAATTTTCATCAAAATTTTCGAAAAATAAGTTTTATTTTAATTTATAGGTAAATTTGTTTTAATTTATTAATTTTTTAAATTTCTGTAACACCCTGTATAAAATACTAAAGTATTTTGAATAAATTAGCCGTTGGCCTAAGCACACCAATAAAATTCTAAACCCAAGCCATTAAAAGGTGCAATTTTAATAAGAGTAAAGAAAATGTGAAAATATTTGCACCCTTTAACAATATTTGCATATGTCAAATCTTAAAATCCATATTTTCATTGCTTTTATATCAAAACATTGATCAAAGTAAAAATAAATTATTTTATCATATCATATGAGGGTGCAATCCAATCTAATCATCAATTCCAAACGCAATCACAAAACCACGCTTCAATACCCCAACAAAAAAAGCAATATCAACATCAAAAGAGAAAAAATTCAACAAAATAATATAAATTACTACCATTAAAATTAATAACTATTTAATTATAATTAACTTCAATTTACACAAAATTTCCTCGAAAGTTTTCCCCTTGTTTCCCGCTTTTTGCTATTTATATGCGTATAGATTTGCAAAGTCAGATAAGCGTGTTACTGGCAACGGTATAATGGAATATAGTTTAATTATTATTAGAGCGGTTGAATGTTAATGTATCCTCAATCCTCAATCTTATCGTTTAGCGTTGCGCTTTCGCACACATTCGGATATCCTGCGCGCACGCTGCTTTAGTGTTATAGAAATGGCATTAACCGGGCCATCGGTGGTGCATGTATCGCAGGAACACATTGAGCAACAAGAATACCAGTACACCAAGAAGAGTATGAAGAGAATGAGGAACGATTATTATCCAATTTGCTTAATTGAACCGGAACAATTTGCTATTGTTATAGCTCGAATTTAATTTAATTTTGATCTACAGAATATAAGATACACTAAATAGAGTAGAATACTATAGATTATACACTGGAAGAAAATATAATTCGAAATCAAGTTAGTTTTGATATTTACGCACTTAAACAAGCAGTTCATATAAGTTTATGACCGTATGCCAGTGGAACTGGTGTCGGTTGTTGAAGATATAGTAGAAAACTGCGCGAAGCAATCAAATGCGCGCGACGTTTTATACGTCACATCGTCCTAACAGACGTTAATAATGTATATGAGAATTTTATGTATTTCCAAGGCGTTATGGTCTCGCCGAAACGACCGCCGTCGCCGAACACATTATGATTTTATATTTGCTGTCTATACATTTCCGGGTAAACGTCTATCCCACCGAGTGTTGTTTAAATTTAACAAAAACACCCTTTCTTATAAAATAAAGAAAAATGTTGTAACACTCTGTTTGGACTCGAACGCAAAACGAATGAAATAATAAACTGAAATCGTGAAATCCGAGCGAATAAGGAGCGGAAAACAGGAAATTGAGTAAACCGGCGAGAAAAACATTTCAACGACGACGACGACGACGCGCGCAACTTGTGGTGAAACAAAGACTGCGTGCAAAAGAACGATATGCAATGATTGGAACGAGACGGGAAAACGCGCGGACGCGGAGAGTAAAATTTTACGATGCTCTTAGTGAAATCAGAGTAAACGCCATAAAAGTGTTTCGCGTTTAATTTAACGACACCGAGTGGAATGTAACGAACATTACACGCATGCCAATTGGTGGAGGCGCCTCGAATGTAAATCCAATCAAATCAAAACTATTTAAGCATGTTTTTATCATACATGGAAATTAAACTTGTTTTCTTATCTGCACTGCAATGAAAGATAAATACCAGTAGCGCTGTGTGCGCTCGGATTTTGCTTTCGGTTTTAATTTGAATTTCGGTTTTGCGTTTGAGTTTGCCGCATCCGTTTCTGTTTGCGAAAGTGGCGAACGCGAACGAAGATCGCATTTGAAGATCAACACTAACATCGTCCACAAGAACTCTCGCCAGCCGCCAGACAAACAGTGCAAAACAAATATACATACTCGACTCTTGTTTGAAATTATAACACAAACAATTGTGATATGACTATTTTTGCTAAATATTTCCACGTCAAAGAATACGGAATTTCTATTTTATAAAGCTTTGGCATGCAAAGCGTTGTTTTAACTTTTCAGCCACCCGCAATCTTAGTCTTTGGTCTTTAGTCTCTTTGTGTTGCGTGAATAGTTTCTTCAGTTTTACTTTTACTTCTTTCCTCGACCGTCTGCGCGTAGTCTGCAGTCTTAGATCAACTATGTGTGCATACAGAAAGATGCATTTCGTAGATTTGCAAAGGGATGAGCTGAAAGCTTTGACTTTGACGCAGCAAACGTTTTTGGCGGTTGCGACGCGCATTTGTTAGTTCTGTGCTGTTGCTTCTTCGCGGTGGTTAAATGTTGCGCTCGGAAAGTTTCCCAATGACGGCGGGACTCAACGACGCAAGAATCCACTCGCTCCCTTAATGTCGATCTGAAGACGCCACGAAATTCTGCAGCGAGGGTGGACAGATCTGCTTTTAAATTCCAAAGTTAATGTTTAAACTTGTGTAAGTTGCGCAAACTTTCCAAAATAAAATTAAAACTTATTTAGAGTTAATGTTCTTGCGATAGTAGTGTTGGTATTGTTGTTGTGATAGATTTTATTGATTTTTATTCGTATTTATTGCGCGCTGGAGTAAAATATACTCAGCTGGAATTTAATTAAGTATG